TCATAACAATAAATTCAAATCAAATTAAACCAATTTAACCATCTATATATGTATATATATTTCTCTTATGTGTACCATAAACTCTGCTATTTCTATATTTGGTAACACTATAGTACAGGGATGGCGAACCAATGGCACGCGTGCCACTTATGACACGCGACACAATATTTTGGGCACGCCACCGATCACAAAGTTCACTATGAAGCATATTAACTATTCAATTAAAATTCACAAAATAAGAACAATTAATGCCGAAAAAGCAATTAATAACCATTAATTGCAAGCGAACAATAAATAACTAGAATAAAAAATTAACAGTTCTGCTTAAACTAACATTTTATAACCCTAATATATGTTATTTGTCATCTAATCTGCAATAACAAAAGTCACACTTATGTTACTTTAAGTTGAATTACGCGTATGACTGAGACATAGCAAAAAAAATTTTTTTCGTATTAAATAAAGAGTTTTGAGTTGATAGTATTTAGTATTATTATTTACCCTATAATCACGAAGTCAAAACTATTTGTCGGCTCGTCTATGACCTCATTAAAATATATTTTAGAAAAAGTGGCACGTTGGTGCATGAAGGTTCGCCACCCCTGCTATAGTATATTATTCATTTTTTAAGTAGTCTTAAGTAATAATTTAAGTAGTGTTGACTAGCTATGTGTTAAGAATTTATTTACAATAATTTTGATTTTTATAGAAATAAAAACTTAGTTACGAAATAATTATTTAGGTTTGTTTTTTATGTTTTCTAAAGTGGAGGATAAATCTAAATAATGGCTGTAAGTAATTTTAAACATAAAGAGTGCTATGGTGCCGCATACTGCTGTCACACCAGTTATTTGAGAGCTTGCAGACGGAGCTTGCTTTTCCAGCTACAGCCTATTTATATATGTATTATACAATACTCAAGTTATGACTCGAGAGATGCGCGAGGAAGTAGTACATCACATAATGGAGCATTGGTATGAATTTTCTATCTTATCTCATGACAGAGATGGTCAGCTGCCGGACAAATTTTAAATTATTACTGAAATTCAATACATAAAGAACTTTGATAAATATGGTGGACATATCTTGAAAATAATTGGAAATCAAAGTATAGTTCGTTCACCAGGAGTTGGCACTTGGCTCCTCTGACGACGAGTTTATTTCCACGCGGGAGTTAAAGGAAAAACGTCTCCGCTCCTGAAATTGAGACAACCCTTAATGCGCGCCAAACGCAAACCAGTCACTTACTTCGCTTTATCATCTGCTATTATACCTTTCGTTACTCTAGCTCAGAGGTCGCCAAAGTGGTCTATATAGACCCCCAGGGGTCTATTTAACAAAAGCGGGGGTCGATCTGAGACAGGGGGGCGAATGGGGGTCGATCCGAATTGGAAGGGTCGATTGTTGGTCGAAAAAAAAAACCGTTCTCAATACGCAAATCACCTAATTAACTTACCTAATTAAGTATGTAAAATTTTTGATTTTTTTTTTTATAATCGACTCAATATCAGTTTCTTTATAAAACATAAATTAATAAACATATATTTATTGGGGTGAAACAAGTATTTACGTACCACCGCGCAGTGACACGAGATCAGCGCAGTCATGCATATGTGCGCTTGTCCAAATGTCACGTGTGACGAGCATCGACGTTACAAATGCAAATATCATACGCAGTTTCAGCTATCTTTGCAAACTGTGTTGAATATTTGCAGTGTCATTATTAAAACTTTTATAGTTTTGGATAATTAGTTATTGTTTCGATAAAACCATTCGTTTGGTTTAGATATCAATTTTAATTATCAATGCACAAAAAAGAAGGTAAGCATTAATAATATGGATAAGTACAGCCCGCGTCAAAACTATAGCACACTTTGTATTTTTTTACGAAAATTACAAAATTGACCAATTTTGACGAAAATTAAAATTGACCAATTTTGAACCCAATATAGCGAACCTTGCAAAGAAACATCAGGCACACCCATCTCATTGATCAAGAAGCAGTAAATCTTTAGTTACTTTACTTATTATATCTACTTATGCATAATTACTTATTATTTAATAATAAGGTATTTAAATTTCAATATTAATATATTTTTGATAAAACTATTGTTACACAATGTACTATAACTTTAATAAATGTTTAAAGTCATAAAATAAATGTACAAACGCAGTATCTAATTGAGTTTTATTTTAATTAACAGAAAATTACTTTTGTGGGGGTCGATGGAGATTTCGAAAAATTATTTAGGGGTCGATGATCAAAAAAGTTTGGCGACCTCTGCTCTAGCTAATTAAATATATTGCAGCAAAATGTCTCAAAAAGGAAAAACTATTCACTCAAAAGAAAGAAATATCAAATTTATGATTACTATTAAAGTTGTACAAGGATATTTTTAAAGGTGACCAGGCTGGTCGCCAAAGGCGGCTAGTTAGTGTCTTAATAATTTTCTGATTTATCAATTTGCATTATACTCAATGCCTATGGGGAATGTGTGAAATGTTTAATCAATTGAGACTACATCGATTATCCGCATTCTATACATTGTCTGATTTTCAACTTTGCTGGTAATATTTGCATATACTAAATAAAGGATACACTTATATACTACCTTCATTATTATAGTTGTTAATTTTTAATAGATAAAACATTTGGCAATTTTAAGTATTTTATTTATCTTTTTTTTGAGTTTTATTATTGTTTAAACACGTTAAATCTCTTATGTTTGAAAGGTATCATATTCAACAATTTTACCACCACGTGTTAATCTTTTCAGCTTACAATCTTGTCATTGAACTGATGGATGTCCACTTTGCGAAAGGATTGAGGGTGCGCGGTATCGGTCCTCGTTAAACTGTTCTATCGTAACGTGTTCTTTTTCGACTGCAGGTCATCGGTCTACTAAAGTCAGGGAGCTAGCTATCCCTCTGCAGAGTAGCAAAATTGTGATGGCATGTCCTCGGATCATCCTCACAGATATTTCTCAGACTGTCGTCATTTGCCAATTATGCAGTTTTAGTGCGACGTAAATAAAATCCTACTACTACCATAGAGTTGAAATAGTCGCGATGGCTCAGTGGTTAAGGCACTGAACTATCATTGAGAAGAACTGGTGTTTGATGCCCAATGGCGGCTTGAAGCCCGCCACCCAGCTACAGACCCATTCGCACCAGCTTTTCTGGGAAGTAAAGGTGACCTGTGCGCAGTACTGACAAAATTGCCACAATCATACCGTTTGTCACGAAACTGTGGAGCCTTAAACTACTTGACTCCTCCCCCCTGGTTGTTGCGAGAATATTATATTTTTGCTATTACTTTTCTAGGACAAAAAAAAATCGTATGTATTAGAAAATTAAAAAAGAAAATTCAAGATTGTTTTCTAGATTTATTATAAAATGGACTTATTATATTTCACAATCGTTTTAAAGTTACCTTACATATAGGAAATTAGTAAATTATAAAAATGAAATTTAATTTTATCATTTTTGACAGAATATCTTCTAAGATAGTTCAGTGTTTAAAAAAATAAAGCGTTCGACAAAATATTCTAATATTAAACACAGTAAATCCTTAATCGTACGTATTTTTTGGAGGGAAAAAAAATAAACCTTTCAGGCAAACGTCATTAAATTCCAAAATAAAAACTATTGTCTTTTATTCGACCTCAAAAATACCTTAAATTTCAAATCCACCTAATTATCATCATTTCTCTTGTAAAGTGTAAGCGCTCAAAAAAATTATTTTCTTTCTTAATCCAACATTAGTTATTACAGCAACATAACTATCCGGTTGATAATCATTTAAAACATTTAATAATAAATGTCGTAAATAGTTATATAAATAGTCGAAAAACAAAACGTCAAACATTTTTAATATTAATATACAAAAAGTCTTAATTATTATTGCAAAATTTTTACTGTTAAGCAATCAGTTCGCCGATCTTCAACTGAAGTCTTTGGAGGACTATGGTTTTCAACGCTAACCACCAAGTAAACAAAATACAAACATTCATTTAAATAAACATTCATAGTTTTACTAGACCCAAACTAAAATAATTTTGACAATTCTGATTTCTTGTTTTTTTTAAGTTGTCTTATCCCTTAAATGGTTAAACCATTCTTTTTTAAGAGTTGTTTGATCTTAAAGAGTTGTTGAGAACTTGTTTGATCTTTTTTCCCCGACTAAAAGTAATAAATAGTATTAAGAGAGAGGCAACACTTGTTAAATAGCCCTCGCATTTGCTATAACAGTATTTTCAAACTCCTCAACATTTATTGTTCATCACTAAAGATTTTCAATGGTATGGCTCTTGGCTCTAAGAGCATTACAATTGAAATTGTATAAGTCATATAGTTTTAACAATATTTCTCGCTTTTTAAAAAGAACAATTATTACAGTGCTCAATGTAATGCATTAAGTAACACACAAGAATTTGGTTCATTCCTAATTTATTTTATTTTTATGCACTATCATAGATATGGTAGCTCGATTTTTTAAGATCAATAACTAAAACTTATTAGTTGTGTGAAGTATGTAGTTTTCAAAGAAAATACGAATAATATATAATACTTCTCTGCTTTAGCATTTATTTACGATTTTCCATCGCCTTCTGATGTTTATTCTAATTGTGTACAAAAGCATATGATAAAGCTGACTTCCTATGCTCTTATAAATAAATATAGAATTAATTTATACAAAAAAAAATTATCTTTAGTTCATTAGGTCATCTTCAACCTTAAATTGAAGTAGTTGTTTCAATTGTAATTCATTTTATTTCATTTCATTTATTTATTATTTCTTTTGCACACATACAGATATGAGAAAAATTAATTATAATTAGCTTCCAGCTGAGCACTCACAAAAAATATTACATCTACGTCATCATTTTAAGAAGCTGTGATGATATTTTTTGAGTTAATCTTATCAACTTTTCTTTTCATTATCTTTTTAGTATACTCACTGTTTGCCTTTCGTTGTTTTAAATAAGTCTACAATTAAATTTCCCTTACAATCCCGCTGAGATAAAATTGTATTTTATACTTTCCATTATCAACGTGCTGAACGAATGATTCTCAAACTATTCATTTACGTCTCAACCTCCTTCTTGAAAGCAAACGATTAGAAAAGTTTTTTTTTTTTCCTGTATCGATATGAATATTACGATGAAAATTCTGATTTAACAACAATCGTGACACTGAGTTTTTCTTCATCGTTTCAATAGTATCGTCTGTTATTTTTCAAGTGGCGTTTGTTTTATTCGGTGACAGCTGTAAATCAGTCTAAATTCAAATTCAGTTAACTTTTTTCCAGCAGACGATTATGTTTTTTTTCTTCTTGCGGTTATGGAGCAGTTTTAAAATTCGAGACTATGTTTCAGTATTAAATTAAATAATTAATTATAACTCATTGCAATTCTTCGTCATTTTAATCAAAAAATGTTTCTTAAAATCAAAAGTATGGATTTTTGTTTTATTGCAGTTTTATTGAGCACATTATTGCCGAGTGCATTTAGTATAAAAGGAACTGTATCAAAAGAAGAAAGTAAGTAAAATGTATTTCTAATTATTACTTTTTTGTATTATTTGTACATATTTCTAATTATTACTTTTTTGTATTATTTGTACTTAATCTTTCACAAGTATTTTCAATTGGGATGTGAATTTAAATTTCTGTTAATCTTAAAATAATTAACAGAATTAAAGATTTAATGATGGAAGTTTTACATTGTAAATGCAGGAAAAAATTAAACAGTCTACTAAAAAAGTTATTGAATAATATAGAATTTTTGACGAATTTCTATAAAATATTTGTATTTGAAGGAAATTGTTTAACTTTGTTAAAGTATAATAATGCAGTATTGCTGTTCAAATTAAAAGAAGCTTATCTTAATTTGCATTTTTATAATGATACAATTCTCACTCAAATAATTTGTGTTTAGTGCTCTTTAAATTTTTCTGATCTGCCGATTTCGGCAAAATACTATTCGGCTTTTTTTTTTGTCTATTTGAGCTATTTTTTTCATAACAAAAAGTTATAAAGACATTTTAAAAAGTCTTTTTGATGTTACATGAACTTTGATTCAAAATATATTTCATCATGATGTTTCTTCTGGCTTATTTCCCACAAATTCCTCTCGATGTAGTTTTCTGTTTTAAAAATTACCATAATTGTTTTTAATTTTGAAAAAAGAAAAAAGGTATTAAATTATTTTGAACCAATCGGGAAAATGTTATAATGATGAACTCAATGTAAAATTTGCTGCGGAAATAACAAATTACTTGTATTTTGTCTTTATTTATTTATTTAACATTTGGGGTTGTTTGGGAGGAGACCTTATAAGTTGATACCGTGAAGGGACATTGCGTTTAATGTCAATATCTATAGAGAAAAATTTTTTTTATGGAAATACTTTAAAAAAATATTAAAATGTAATTATATTTAATAGCCAGTTATTTTCGACAGAACTTTTCTAGATGATTCCCATCAATACATCAAAAATGGCTATTCAAATTTATCTATCTATCTATCATCTGTCTATCTATAGTTAAAGAGAATAGTCTTTAGCATGCCTACAGAATATGTAAAATGAAGATTCAGCATTAAATTCATTATCTAGATGGCTTTAACGAAGTTTAACATTCAGTTCATGTAGTCACAATTGTATTCCAAACAGACATAAGATAATATTTCAATTAACGTTTATCTTAACTGTTAAAATGATAAAAAATTATTCGCTTTTATCTCTAACCTGAATATTAGGGTAACGTTGCTTTTTATCTGAGTGATATTTAGATTCTATTTATTTTACTATGTCAGCTTGTTAAAATTTAATTATATATCTATTTTTTTTGCACTTATTGTTTAATAATAAATAATTCTGGCTAGATAATTTAACAATGCTTTGTTAATTTTAAATAACATTTGTTAGTAAAAAAATTATCATGGAACAATCAATTTATCTCTCAATAATTGCCAGCGTAGTCAGTATACTTGATTGATATTTCATAGAACATCATGACTTTAATCCAAGAATTTTCCATCAATACTTATCATATTGCAACATTTTTATATCCATCTCACCTATAATTTCGTACATATATTTATTATTCACACACAATAAATTTACGTTACCTTTTATTATTTTTGTAAAAAATAAAAATATTTTATTTAAGCTTAACTATATACTAAAATATTCAATTTTTAGTTCATCATTATTGAATGTAAAATAACGAATACAATTCATTGATCTATAATGATTATCATTTTATAATTTTTCTTTTATTTCAAGTTCTAAGTTAAAAATAGTGGTATAGTATTTTCTCTCATTTTATTAAAAATCTTAACATTCTCGTGAAAATATAATAACACAATAACGATAGTTCAGAAGTCTTAACCTGGACTATTAACCTTATTGTTCTATTGACGAAAGGAGGAACTTAAATATTGCTATTTAGGGAAATGAGATATTATTTCCTTTGTATTTTTTATGCTATATCCATTCAACTAATGATAATTATTATTATAAGTTCTAATGATTCTATGTACAAAAAGAATGATGTTTGGTGGCAATTATCGGCAATTTTTATGAATGTCAGTCGACCTGTGACTATAGTGTTACAAGTTATTGTAACAAGTGTTATAGTGTTACATTTACTATTTATTCTAATAGTGCTTATGAACAAGCAAGTAAAATCAAAATGGGATTAATTTTAATCAGAAATAAAATCTTCATTAAATAATCATCACAATGTTAATTTTTATTATTAGTAAGACCTTAAAAATATTAAGATTTGAGCTATACCCTAATAACGTTAAAAAACAAGTAATTGCATAAAAAGTCGCCTTTTAATGTTAATTTAATAGAATAGAGTTGATTTTTAGCTAAGTCAATTTAGATTTTTACTCTATTATGTAATTTGATAAATCAATATTCAATATGCTAACAGAGAAGCAAATGCATTTATCAAATTACACATTTATGCATTTTACTACTGCTATAAAAATTATAGAATTCTATATGTGATGAGCAATTTTAATCAAAAAAATTGTAAAATGTGCTAAAGTAACAGCTTTTTCTAAATTTTTCGCTCTACATAAATTATATGTTGCTATCTAGACTAGTAAGGTATTAATTCCTTTTTATTTTGCTCACTGAATGAAATGATTTTAAACCTAAGTCGATAGGAAAAATAGTGTATATATTACAGGGGTTTTATTTATGCCATATAATTAAAGCGAGATTATGTATGAGGTCCTGCAACTTTTTACCATTTACTAAAAAAAGGGTACTTATTAGCTTTTCGTGTTAAGATAGTTTCTGTTTTTTCTACGTTTGGAACATACATCATGTACATGCACCAAAATCTAGAAGGGGGAAACATTAATTAATTAATTAATTGTTTTACAAAACTGATCTGAAGTACATAATCTAATATTATATTAAAATAACCACATTATTATAACAGAAAGTTTAATCTTGACGTGTCCAGCTCAGTCATTTGCTCGTTTTAAATTTACTCACCAGCTTACTGGTCAATTAATTTAAGAAAAGGCAAATCAAAAGTGGCTGTTTATGCAATAAGCAAAAATAGCATAATATCTCCTATTATTAAAAACCATGAATAAAAATGGGCAATTAAAAAACACAATAAGAATTTATTTTTCTTCCACAAAACCTTGTTTTTATATTTGCTACTTAACAAACAAGTGTACATTGCCAGGCAACTGTATATTAAAGTGCAACACAGTTTCGCCAACCTGTAAAAATTAACCGAGAAATTTTGAATGAGAAATGACATAAATATTCCCAATGTCTACATGAGCCCCATGTTCTTCTTTTAACTATTTATGCAGATTTGACGTAGCTATCTAGAAAAATGAAGTATTGTTTCCTTTGCCTGTTCTTATGCTCAATTGAATGAGGTATTCTTTTGGCATTACTATTTAGTGACTATCTCGAGATGTAGCTAAGACATGTAAGAAATATCCTATGCATTTTTCTTTTACTGTAAAGCGAATGTATGAAGTGAATCAGAATTTATGGAATAAATAATTTAGAAGTTGCAATGGTTTAATATATAAAATTATCATTTTCATTTTTCTTACGACACTTATACATTTACAATCAGTAAAAACAGCTCAAAATTTTTAAATATAAAAAAATAAATAAATAGATAAAAAAAGACTGTCCTTGCACGAAATGCTAATAATTACTCTTTTTTTAGTAAGTGGTAAAATGTTTCAGGATCTCATACGTCAGTTTTAAGTCGAAGGAGTGAGAAATAAACCCTTTCTCGCTATAATTACAGGGCAAAAAATAAAACCCTTATAACATCTAAACTTTTTTTTTTACATCGACTCGAGTTTATTCAGTATGTAAAATTAGAAGGAATCAGTACCTTACTTGTCTAGATAGCAATGCCGAGTAATAAAATGTTGTAACAAACAGCCTGTTGAGTATACTTCGTATGCTTAACCTTTTATAAAACGGATAAGCAAATTTTTTTTTCATTCTAGCTAGCAGTTCGAAACAGTAAATTACTATTTAAAATGTATTTATTTAGATATTTTTTAACTATTTAAACTTAAAAAAAAATTGAAATAATTTCGAAATTCTTCAGAAAAGTATGAAGCTTTCATTATTCACTGCTGTTATTTTACCTTGATATAATAAAAAAAATTCAAAAAAAGTAAAATTTTCGCATTTTTGTTGGAAATATTTATTTGATTAAGAGTAAGAGTTATTATTTGCATTTAACAAATTTTAATTATAGTTTAACAATTCCGAAGCTAGTTTGAAATTTTAAAAGGCCAAGGTTCTTTTAATCTTCTGACATAAGAATGAATAGGTGCTAAACATTTTAATTTTACTGTGATTAGGATTTCTTTTGCATCGAAAAAACCGAAAAAAAGCGAAAATAAACTATTTAATTACTCACAAACTAATATAAAATTTAAACTTATTTAGACGTGTTGTTCTTAAGAGTCAAAAGTATGTGTATTTAAAAAATCATTGTTCTTCTTTTAATTTTTACTTAACTGAATTACACGGAGCAAAAAGAAAAGAAAACCTTCAACTTTGAAAATAAATAAATAAAAATAACTCGGAAACTAATGTTGTTTCTATATCAAAATGTTCCTTAATCATTAAACATGTCTCGTAAAATGCACGAAATTTCATGTTTTTATAGGCATACATACTTTATGCGATATGAGAGATGCAGCAATAACTTTCTGAAAGAGGGTGGCGGCGAAAACAACAGAACTTTTTACCATCTATGTGTCTTTTTAGAAATACATTATTAAGGATTTTATTAAAATAAGCTAATTTTTAGGAACTATAAGACTAGCTTCTATTGAAATATTTAAATTTTTATTATAATTAAAATAGTTGAGAAATAATTATTATTAAATAATTAAATTCTTATAATAATTATTTCCTATTTAAATAATTAATTATCAAGCATTAGTTATTTATTAAAAATTATAATTGGAAGTTTCTTTACATGCTCAATTTTTCAAAATCTTTATAAATAGAAATT